ATAGAGGCTCGAAAAAACTCCATTAACATAGTAATGGGTAATTTCCGGGAATGACGACTTAGAGCGTTGATTGATTCTGCACTATTAGACGTCATGAAACCATATCTTGCTCCAAGTTGATGTACTCTTGACCATCTTTCAAACCCGACATCTTCTAGTGTTTGAGCACATTGAGGCAAACACGTCTTAAAAAATTTATATGCTTATTAAAATCCACTTTCCGATAAGCTTTTACAGCCTTCCAGTATGTTCATTTGTGATTTTTTATACCAGCAGACCTTGATTTTAGATTTCTATACAAATGAACACCACAAAGTCCATGAAAAACATCTAGAAAACACCTTCTAATAGCGTTGTCAATTGAGTTTACCCTATCGGATATGATTATCAAATTGCTAATAGGACCTATGCAATCCCTAAGATGCCCCATAAACCATGTCCATGAATCAGAGGTTTCAAATTTGCCAACCCCGTAAACTATTGGCAGTATCCCATTGTTAGAATCCATGGCTACTGCTAATAAGTTTACTCTAAGGTATCGACCTTTCAAATGTGCTCCGTCAACTATAATAACTGGGCGCATGCAAGTAATAAACGAACGAATCTACAAAATCATATACACAAGAAATATAATCATTTAAATGTGAAATGCATGCAACTAACAAAAATGAGTCAATAAAATTATAATTATTTACTAACCGCAGCAACAATGGCGATAAACAGCAACTCAAAGCATCCATCTCTATCTGTTTTGATATGAGTTACAGACCTATGATTTTTCAGCTTTAAATTGTGACAATAAGCTGGCAGTTGGGCAAACGATGCTTCTGGCGACCCCCTCAATAATTCCAAGGCATAACATTTGGCTCTCCAAGCTTGAGAATATGAGATACTAATCTTGAACCGAGCATTCATGTCACTCATAATTTCATGTCCCCGATATACCCTTCCATTCAAAAACATTAACTCAGCCAGAAAACCACCCAACACATTTTTGTTTGCCTGTCTATGGTGAGGAAAAACTTGGGTTCTTGAACATGTATGTTTATCAATAAAAGTCCTAACTTGAAACATTTCGCAATCATTTATCCTCTTTGCAATCATACGCCATGTATAATTTTTGTCAATCATACACCTTGTTTCGAAACAATCTTTGCTTGATTTGTTAACTTTAGTTGATAGCCATCTTCCACACATTTCGTATACAAAGCTATCTTCAAGTCTTCCTTTGTATCAAAACAATCATCTTTCTTGATACAAATAACTTTTGTGTAACAATCAACTACTATCTTTACCAACTCTTCTTCCGGTATCTGAAGTAATTCTGGCATATTCCAGTTATACTCCCGTGGCATTTTCTTCTTTTTCTTTTCTTCGGGGACTTCTTCTTCTTCTTCTTCTTCTTCTTCAGGGTTATATGAATTACAGAATGGATGTTCAACATGTTCATTCACAGTCGTAACTTCCTCCTCATTATCATCAACAACATCTTCCTCGGCAGCGGATGTTTCATCATCAAAATTTGGGTATTGACCAATATCAAAATCATTACATGCAGGGTATGTTTCTTCTTCCATCACATCATCAAAATCCGAGTATTGACCAAGATCAAAGTCCGGGTATTGACCAAGATCAAATTTCAAATACTGACTAGTACTCACAATTTTTTCTGTTGGCTCATAATCGTCTAACTGATCAATATGAATACCGGAATTTGGTGCTGAAAGTTGATTGGGATTTGGATTAGGAAAAGGTTGTGAGTTTTGAGATTGTGTTTGGTATTGGAAATGTGGTGAAACAAAATTTTCTTGGTGATGAAATTGTGGTGGAACTATTAAATTTTGAGGTTGATAACAACGTTGTACATTGTGAGCACTATAAACTGAGGTTGAAGAACTTAGTTGATTACTACCCGCTACTAACCCAACTTCACTATTTCTAGGTTCAACAACATACAATGTAACATCATCTTCTTGCGAAACACTAATGTAAGCAATGAATCGTCCAACATCTTCATTGTCGGTTAACAAATAAACTTTACCTTTTCTCTGATAAAATAGCCTAAATCCACTTAGAGGCTCTAAATTCAATTTCTTTGCAACACGTAACATTAGAGTTTCATAAGTTAACTTTTTTAATGACAGTTTTAGTTGAAGATTCATGGGTAAAGGCACATATTGTAAAACACCATGAACATTCTCCCATGACCCTCCAAAACACAAATCTATCCAAACATGATCAATATTAGATTATTTCATTCTACAAATTATAAATTAATTTACTAAACAAACGAGCTATAAACTAGATATCATCACTAACTTAGAGAAAAATATACCTTTATTAAGTTGATAGTTGATAATTTGGGAGAGAAATCATTGAAAATTATATAGAAATAAAATTATGTAAAAAAAATTAGAGATGGGGAAGGATGTCGTTGGATATAGGAACGGATGTCGCAGTGATAGATGGAGATGGAATGAGTTGCGATTTAGGGATTTAGGTTATGAGTTGCTGCTGCTGCGTTGTTATATACCCAAAACATTTGTGTTGCGAAACTAAAACCTGTTACGAAATTAAATTCGTGTTGCGAATTTGAAATTCAGTTGCGAATTTGAAATTCCGCGTTGCAAATTTAACTTTTGTGTTGCCAATTTGACTTATGTGTTGCGATTTACAAATTTACGTTGCGAATTTGACTATCGCGTTGCGAATTTGACTATTGCGTTGCGAATTTGACTTCTGTGTTGCGATTTACAAATTCGCGTTGCGAAACTGGAAACTGGGTTGCGAAATTGGAGATCGCGTTGCGAATTTGTTGGTCATTTTGGTAAATCCAAAAAAAGTTAGTTAAAATCGTATATTATAAGGCATTTTCGGTCACTGAGATTATTTTCTCTTATATATTTATATTAATAAAATGTTAATTTTAAATAAATATATATTCAATTCCCTTGGAAAGCTTCAGTCTGCAAGTACAAGAGGTTGGCATGAAAGAAAGCTGAAGAAACATGTCAGTCTCTCGTCTCTTCAGGAATGAATAAAGGGAGCTTTAGGGTATAGTTTGTTAGGATTGTTTGGGAGCATAATCATCATAGTTATAACGCTTTTCGAAAATAAAATAAAGTCTGAATTTATATATCAACGTATTATTAAAACAATATTATGCAAATAACACTTTTTTCATTGATGTAAAGAGCATCCAAATGAGATTATTTAAGAAAATAAACCTCTTTAAGTAAAAGGGTGTCGACATGACAGATTTTCTAGATGGAATTTCTAACAGTTATATAGTAATACATGTTAAGGACACGTATTTATATAGACGGGATTTGATTAAACAATAACAATATATATATATATATATATATATATATATAATTTGCCTTCAATCACTAATCACCGAATATTTTAAAGATTATATTTAAAAATTTTAAAAAATTCGTATATTAACAATATGAGATTTAAGAATATTATCAAGTGACCTTAATAATAAAATGAAATGTTATTTTTTTTAAACTTATGTGTTCGAGCAACTATCTATAATATATATATATATATATTATTAATTAATTAAAAAAATCTAAAAAATATTACATTATAAATTTATAATCACCTCATATTATTCGTATAAAAATATAAGAGCTAATTAGAGGATCAAGATAAATTGGAAGTCCAATCGAACGCCCGTATCTATGGGTTGCTCAAAGTAGACAGCGACCAACACCTATTTAAGATTTTTAATTAGTACCACTCGAACTTGAATATGAACCGGACATCCCTTTACGCACATTCGGTCGGTAACCTAACAAAAATTAAGGTTACGTTCTGTATTTTTTTAACAAAACTGATAAAGATTATTAAAAATTATAATATAATATCTCAATTATATGATATTATTTTATTGAGTTTCTCAATTATTAAAAGTTATAAAATGATAATCCGACTATTTATATGTTTTAAATTCATATTTTTTTGTTAAAAATTTGACGACGATATGAGTTGAACGTTAACATGTTGATTGAGATATGATAGTCGCTTGAGATTTTAGGATCAAATTTTATCATATCTCAAAAAGCAAGTTAACGTCCAACACAGATTACCGTCAATTTTTAACGAAAATTATGAATTTGGAACATATGAATAGTCGGGTGACCATTTTATAACTTTTAATAGTCAGGAGATTCAACAGAACAGTGACTTATAGTCGAAGTACTATTTTTTAACTTTTAATAATCGATGGACTTAACAAAATAATATTTTATAGTCGAGGAACAATTTGTTTATTTTACCCTATTTTTTCAAAGTATTTTTATTGTGTTTTTTAAAAGTAACGTTAAACTGATTCTAACTAATGCATTAAAATCATTTTGTGGAAAAATACTTTCATCTCGGGTGATCTAATAGTATTAATAATGCATATATATGTAAAAGAAGATTTATTATATTAATGTAAAGTTAATTATAAATCTTTGTAATTTTTATACAATAGTAGAAAGGTACTAATATCATTACAGAATTAGTTCGTGTTTACATAATTTAATGTTTTTATATTATTTGATTTTATTGCTCTCTTTCCCGTGCTTATTTGTAATTGCATTTAATAGGCAATGTTGATAAAATATTGATGTTAGTGATCAATGATGGTTTAAGAAAAATAATTGGACTCAAAACTTATCAAATGACTTTAGTAGTTAAAAATAGTGTTTTTTTTTAAATTTTGAGTTTAAATAATTATATTTACAGGTATGTGTAATTAAATTTTCATAAAAAAAACAAATTTTATTAATATTTTATACATTGGATTGTTTGAAGATTCACTTGACATTATAATTAATCATAAAATATGAAAATTAATTTTTTAAAATAATAAATATAAAAAATACTTAAAAAAACAAAAAGTAATTTTTAAATAGTATAAATCGGTTGTATAAAGAACAAGCACAGAAGAGGTAAACGCATTGAATTATCGTTATAGAATTAGAAAACCTCTTAAAAGCAAGGCCGTGGGCAGCGCACTGCCGCCATTGCTGATACCCGAGTTCTATATAAATTGAATTTTCATCTTTTACTATTCGAAATTAAAGATTTGGGGATTTCTTTTACCCGAATATCATCAGATTTTTTATGAATTTTTTGAGTTGAATTTATGAATTTTTCTATCGGCCACGATCCTGTTCTGAGAAGGAAATGAATAAGAAATACATTCGTTTATAGTTTTTTTGCATTCTAATCTTCATTCAATCTCCTTTCCCTTCACTTTCCCATCCCCCAATCAAACACCTCCTTCCCTTTCCTTTCCCTTTTTCCAATCAAACTTTTCCAAATTCCAATCACCTTCCGCCATTAAACTAAATTAACCTTTCGTTGCTCAGGTGCAGAACAGTGTGGAATTTGCTTTCCAAGTTTCACGGGATTTTCTCCTCTGCTCGCCATTTTTTGCAGCAGAAAAAGGAAAAACAACTCGAAGCCCTCCATTACTGAGCTACATAGACAGAGTGTACGTTTAGATCTTTGCAACGGAGCGAGGGAGGTGGGAAATTGATTAATCGGAGATGAATAACGACGTTACACGGGCAAACGGACAACCAAGGAAATCAATGGACACGATCTGGCGAACTTCGATGATATCAACGGGCAGATCTATAGGCGTCGTCTCCCTCCTACTACTACTCGGCGCGTTGATCTCCACGTACTTTCTCGACACCACGGTAAGTAACGAGGAATTTTGTACATTTTCCAACTTTTACTGCATCGTTTAGCACGAAATTGATTTGATATTTACCTCTTTCTTTCGTAGAGAATATTAGAAAACTAGATCAAAAAACCGTGAATCGAAGATGCGTCGCGAATTTCGTAATTAGAGCAGAAAAAAATTAAAATTTCATGAGGTTTGCCTTAGGTGTCGGTTAATATTAAACAACTTCATTCGAGAGAGATGGTCTCAATCAATTACTCCGGTCCGCGTGTAATGGTTTAGGTGGCCCGACACGTATTAATTGGACCCATCTGATTTTCTTCTTGCTGTCCTTTCTTTGATTATGTTTACCATTCCATACCTAATTTTTCAAACTTGTTTGTTGGTTTCGGCCGTTCCCATGTTGACAAATTTGGATTTCTCCCCAACACTTGGGTCTTAAATGGTTTATGCCACATAAAAGTATTTACTTCATTAGCATCCATGACTGTTCTTTAGCTGATAAAATCATTTGTTTCCCATTCTAAAATAGATTCTAACATGTATAAATAAAAAATATATGCATAATATATATATATATATATATATATATATATATATGTATATATATATGAACATAATGAATAAAAAATATTTTCGAGCCTTTGTTTTGGTTCTCGTTTCGCCTTATTTTCTTGCTCAAATGAGAATTCCAATAGTTCTTGATTTGGTTATCAGTTCGGCCTGGTAGTCGTCCAGCAATCAAAGACCACTGGTGGCACCCACAAAGGCAAGCAAGAAGTAGAATCCAAAAAGGGTGAGCTTGGGAGCAGACTTAGACTTGGTGATGAAGTACAAGAACCCAATGTACGGAAACAAAGAAACTGCGAAGAGTTGAGAGGCAATGGCTTTGTGAGTCAATATTTGGTGCCATGAACCCACTGGGAACAACCTTGTAACTCCTGTTAATAAATTTTACGTCCTTGTAACTCCTGGAGTTTCTGCTTGAATTGCTTGGAATTGATGCTGGCTTGTTTCTGAGGAAGTGAAAAGAACCTGGAAATGTTGAAGTCAGGGAAAATGTAACACCCAACCCGTATCCGTGTCTGAGGTGTCACATTGATTTTTCAAAACTCTGTTCTTTACAAATCCACTAAAATTTTAATTTCCTCATTTGAGAAAATAATTACTTTACATAAATAAATACTATTAAATTGTTTTACAACTCATTCAGAGCATATTCAACTCAATCAATTAGTACATGCCAACTATATTCAAAATAACAAAATACATTTAAATCATCTATTTTCTGATCTAAAACTTTGTAAGGGAGATGCTGACCTGTCTTGCTCTTCTTAGCTTATCTTTTCGCTTTTGTAACCTACGTGTGAAACAATCACACGCTAAGCCTATGACTTAGTGAGACATTAAATTTATAAAAGAACTCTAATTATTTAAACATACAGGAACACATCATCTCATAATGTTACACCAAAACAATATAACATTACATACAATGTAATATACACATATACATATCTCACACTATTTCCATTACTAACCTTATTCCACTATCCATATTCTTATCATTTATGTCTTATAATCATATACTCGTATGTCTATTCTTTTAAGCCACATATGATTCATTTAACCAAGCAATACACACATCATCATATAATCATATAATGCAATTCATATTACAAAAGAATATACTTTGCATGTAATATATATATTTATTGGTATCTCTTTGTTAGTCCATGTACATATGTGAGAACTATAGATATGTGAGTACATTGAGGTTGTGCACTATGCTGTCACCACAACTCGTATAATTCCCACTAGGGGCGCGTAGAATTTATCTCGTAGGATCACTATGTCCCGAATGACCACTGTATATGTCCCGAAGGACCACTATATATGTCCCAAATGACCACTGTATATGTCCCAAATGACCACTGTATATGTCCCGAAGGATCACTATGTCTCGAATGACCACTATGTCCCGAAGGACCACTGATAATCCCTCGACTCTTGGCATGTCAACTATACCTCTAGCTCACTTTACACATAACATGGGCATTAGCATTATATCATTTCACATATTCATATAAACACGTAGTTCACTGTCACATATCACATAGCTTATGTCGTATAACTTGTATCACATATACACATTCATATCACATGTTCATATAAGCTCATAACTTTTTTCACATTTACATGTAATCATGTAGCTTCTTTTCACGTAGTTCATGTCACTTTTCATATCATTCATTTATCACATTTACCATGTCTTAATATATGTTTGTATTTTTTTTCACCTAATCACATCTACCTCTTCTCATATATCTCATACATAATCTCTATCATATATAAATTCATTCACTTATCTTATAGTTATGTATCATATTACATAATTTAACTTATATCATATTACCATGTGTACATATATCATGGACACTTAACATGTATCATATAAACATGTATTCACACATATAATTAACATATTCAACAATCAATAACACACATGTAACATATCAAACATATGCTAATATTAATGAATTCATGCATTTTTACTATAGGAAATAGACTTGTCACAAGTCTTATTTCCATTAAACATAATACACTATCTAATATGCACTCACCTTGGTCTCACCAAGTTCCAATCCCATTTTATGATTCCTTTCTTTCGATCGAATATTAACTTGATGGTCATCCCGAAACTTGTTCGTGCTCGATATCTATACAATCATAATTTCCAAGACGATTATTAGAAGCCTAAACCTTATAATTCGATGCTAATAACATAAACTAATTTATTGAACTATAATTCACTTTTTCCTTTAGGGGTGTATCGATACACTATGGGTGCATCGATGCACAAAGTAGCTTCGAAATTTCCATGCAGCGACGCCTTCCTATGTGCATCGATGCACACTGAATAACTTTTGGAATTTACCCTTGATGCATCGGTACATGTTGAATGTGTACCGATGCACATTAGCCCAGAATTCCAATTTATGCACGAAAATTCACTCTTTCCAGCTTAATTGCTTCATATATCATCCCCTTTCTTATTCTTAACTTACATACTCATGCTTAAACTCATTTATTCTCATTTATCACAGCTTTATCCTCGAAATCTTATCTTCCAAATGAAATTCAAGAATCATACCAAAATTTTTATATGTTTTAAATCCAATTCTATCACTCCAAATCTCTTAATTCAACTATTGACAAGTCAAATTTAACTTCAAATTCTACTTATCAACTCTTTTCTAAAATTTCATTTAAAAACTTCTAATCTTTAATCTCTCTTAACTCCTTCATCTTATGGTTTTAAGACAAATTAAGCTTTCCTTAAGCTTAATTATCATCTCAAGAATTAAACCCAACTTCAAATTAAAAGGAAACAATCACTTGAAATAATCTTACCTTACCAATGGAGCCACGGGAAGAAAGGAAGAAGAAAGCCAACCATCTCCAGAGTCTTCCACTTTTCTTCTTCTCTCCACATGTCTACTTCTTTTATAAGGAAAATAAAAATCTTTCTTTGTTAAATGACCATTATAACCCTTATTCCATCAGTTATTTATTGAACAATCCAAAAAATATTTCAAATCTTTCAAAATCAGACTTCAAATTTTCAAAACTTCCATTTTAGTCACTTGCTCTAGTTTTGGGATGTTACAGAAAAGATGATTGGTTGGTTTAGACAAAGGTTGAAGATAACTTAGATCCAGAGACTGGAAACCCCCCAACGAAACTGTACTTGACATAATCTTACATTTCCAATGGAGCCACAGGAAGAAAGGAAGAAGAAAGCCAAACATCTCTAGAGTCTTCTTCTTTTTCTTCTTCTCTCAACGTGTCTACTTCTTTTATAAGGAAAATAAAAATCTTTCTTTGTTAAATGACCATTATAACCCTTATTCCATCAGTTATTTACTGAACAATTCAAAAAATATTTTAAATCTTTCAAAATCAGAGTTCAAATTTTCAAAAATTCCATTTTAGTCACTTGCTCTAGTTTTGGGATGTTACATAAAAGATGATTGGGTGGTTTAGACAAAGGTTAAAGATAACTTAGATTCAAAAACTGGAAACCCCCCAACGAAACTGCTCTTAGTATATCTTAAGCAAGGTGTGTTCGGTCCTCCTTTGAAAATGATGAGAATAATCTGTTTAAATATTAAAAGCCACCCCAAAAGCACCCCAAAAGCATATTTATTTTTTAGTTAGTGGGAGTAGTGGAAAAATGGATAGGAGTGGAATGGGCAGGGTAGTAGAGTGAGAGAACGTGAATGGAAATGGGGTAGTGGAAGGTGGGGGTTGAACATGAGACCTACAAAAATAAAAAAAATAAAAATTAATAATATATAATATAATTTTTTGTAAACCCAGACAAAAATGGGTGTCTACAGCTGCCTCTCTTTGCATATTTTTGTGTTAATAAGAATATGGCAAAGATGAAAAAGACAACAAATTTTTGTCTGGCTCTATTTGATTTTAGACTTGGTTGTGTTTGTTGAGACACTAAGTCTATCTGTTGGGCACAATATCCTTTTTTGTAAAGTTGAAATCGTGGGTGACTCCCTCGTTGTGAAGTTGAGTTGAACTGTAAAAATCCTGAGCACGATATTCTTCGTCGTGAAGTTGAAATCGAGCTCAAAGCATTGGGAAGTAGCTACTGGATTGTCTTCTAGCCCAATATACTTTGTTGTGAAACTGAAATTTGACCTGGATGAAACATGTTTTTCATTGTTGTTTCACATATGAGTTATTCTTTGTGAAGTTGGGTCAACCTTTTGGGTACGATATCATTCGTTGTGAAGTCGAAATCGTAGGATGGCTCCTTCGCTGTGAAGTTGAGCTTTGACCTGGATATCTTTCGTTGTGAAGTTGAAATCCAATGTTATGTAAGTTGTGTTGTTTCGAGACCAATATCCTTCGCTGTGAAGTTGAAATTCACTCTGAAACTGGAAAGTTGTTTGTTAACAGAAACTTCTTCTTTGAGTTGGATATCTTTCGTCGTGAAGTTGAAATCCAATCTAGAGATGCATGATGCTTGAGAGCACGATTCCCTTCTTCGTGAAGTTGAAACCGTGGATGACCCTTTCGTTGTGAAGTTGAGCCTTGAATTGGATATCCTTCGTCGTGAAGTTAAAATCCAATCTAAAGATGAATGTTGCTGGTGAGCACGATTCCCTTCATCGTGAAGTTGAAACCGTGGATGGCCCATTCGTTGTGAAGTTGAGCCTTGACTTGATTATTCTTCATCGTGAATTTGAAATCCAAGCTTGTATTGTTTCGAGTACAATATTATTCGCCGTTAAGTTGAAATTGGCTCTGAATGAAACTGGGAAGCCCCTTCGCCGTGAAGTTGAGCTTTGAATTGGATATCCTTCGTCGTGAAGTTGAAATACAATCTAGAATTGGCACGATATCCTTCTTCGTGAAGTTGAAATCGTGGATGACCCATTTGTTGTGAAGTTGAGCCTTGACTTGAATATCCTTCATCGTGATGTTGAAATCCAAGCTTGTATTGTTTCGAGTCCAATATCCTTCGCCGTGAAGTTGAAATTGTCTCTGAATGAAATTGGGAAGCCCATTCGCCGTGAAGTTGAGCTTTGAATTGGATATCCTTCGTTGTGAAGTTGAAATCCAATCTAGAGTTGATGGGCACGATATCATTCGCTGTGAAGTTGAAATCGTGGATTTGTGGGCATGATATCCTCCGCCGTGGTGTTGAAATCTAATTTCAAACAAATTGTGTCGCTTTGAGTTCAATATCCTTCGATGTGAAGTTAAAATTGACTCTGAACGAGACTCGGAAAGTTGTTTTGTCGTCAGACAGTCACCCCTTCACTGTGAGGTCGAGCAATCACCATAAACTTTTAAATGTGCTTTTGAATTGAGTATCTTTCATCTTGAAGTTGAAACTTGACTCAAAATGCTGCAAAAAATTGTTTATGCTAAAAATGATAAATGTGATGCTCTTAAGTATGTCTAAGATGCATGCAACATAAATTAATT